AGACTGGGATAGAGACCAGGGAAAGAACAAGTATGGGAGCTGGGGGTGCAGAGGAGCACCACAGCCACCTTGGGGGCTGCACAGAGACACTGCAGAGCAGAGGCTCAGGTGACTGTGGGCAGCTAAACCTGGAGCTCTGTGCCTGAGCACCACCGTGCCACCAAAGCAGGAAGTTATCTAAGAAGATGGGTTTAGGAAGGATTGCAACACAGAATGGTGCATCACTTAAGCAAGTAAGTCACAGGGCACAAGGGTTTTGACAGCTGTTTTGACATAAGCTAATGGAAACTGGTACTTAAGAGGGAATGAGAGGCCATGAGCAGGGACCAAGACAAGGGATACCTCTTGGTAGGGCCAAGTAGTCTGTCCCTAAACATGTGTGGCACTACTCAAGGGCATGGTGGAGGGACTGAGCCTGCTCTCGCACCCTGAAGCCCTTCAGGACTTTGCCAGCTCTGATTTCCATTTTGAAGGTTTGTTTCCAGTGCCCCTGCCAGCCTGGAGGCACCAGCAGGCACACAACATGGCACAGGGTCCTCCTGCCAACCCTCAGAGGTCTCTTGTCCTCATCTACACCTTGTAGAACAGCACTCCACACCTCAGCGTGGCTAGCGAGGGAACAGGAACCTCACCTTCCTCACTTCTGTCTCCTCTCTCATTTGTAGGTACTACAAAAAGTTCTCTATTCCTGACCTGGACCGATACCAGCTCCCCTTGGATGCAGCTGCCCTGAGCTTCACCCATGCCAACAACACCCTGATCATCACGGTAAGCTTTTAGCCACACGGAACAGCACTTTGCCCTTCTCTTTATGTCCACAAAGAAGTTAAAATTCTTACACGTGGGGAAATGAGGCAGAGCGGGGAGATCTGACAAGGGTCACTGATGAGCCCCCTTCTCTGTCACACAGTCAGGGGGAGCTTCAGATTACACTGGGCATGCTGGAACTAGCCAGGACATCCCAGGCCACATGAGGGGCCCTGCTTGCTGCTCAAGGTGACTTGCAGGTGGAAGAGTCTGTTGTGCCCTGTGTATCCCTTCCCTCAGGCCTGAGCAAGCCTCCATTCTCACTCATAGTAAGTTTCTCTTGCTTCAGAGCGTGTTAGGAGTCCAACACCTGCTGTACTTAGAGGTCTTGCAGTCTTAAAAAAATAATAAAGAAGTCACCTGCTGCTTTGTGTCAGGAGAGGACACACTTCCATGCACATGATGGAAGTGAGAGACTAGCAAAACGGGCACGTGTTTCCTGTTGCAAGGAGCAGCCACATGCTTTAGAGCGGCAGGTGCTCATCATCCTACCTGCAGAAGTTAGCTACCCAGAGAGCATCCCCTCTGAGGGAAACCTCGCAGCAGGGCTGGGAGTGCACGTGCAGAGGAAACAGGCCAAGAGGAGCACCCTGAGTCCTTCTGAGCTTCTGTTCGCTCTGGGCCAAGCCCTTGCCAAAAAGCACCTGCATCCACCACTAAACTGCAGCTGAGCAAGCAGGCTCTAAGGGGAGGACAGAGGAACTGCAACTCTTACTTCTCTGTCTGCCTTTTAAAAATGCATCTTATATATATATAACACGTGTGAACATACGATCAGTGATCACACCAGGGATCTGCATGACACAGCTTTCTAGGATATTCCAGAGGGGTTGGTGGGGGCCAGACTTTGAATCCAACTGGAAAGCTTTACTTGCACTGTGAAAGACACTTGAGATCTTGGCACATGTCCCTAGCACGATGGCACCACCTCTCCACATGGGCTTTGGAAATAGCTGATAATGGAAAGGCCACACCTGGCAGAAGGGACCCAGTTGGTCTACTTGGAGCAGAGGCTAAACAGGAGCACTAAGGCCATTTCTATTTCCCTTCATCCTACAGTACCAGAAGCCGAAGGAAATCCTGGCTGCAGAAGAGCAACTGCAGAAGGAGCTGAAGAAGATAAAGGCAGCGAACAGCGAGAATGGTGACTGCAAGACCCAGTAGGCAGTGGCTGCTTACAGGGTGAGGTGGTGGGGAGCTCTGTGGCACAGCTTCATAGTATTTATGTTGCCTTTTCTAATAAAAATTAGTCCTGTTGTTAGTAGAGCCGTTTGGAGGAATCCTTGTAGGCCCAGGGAGACAACAGGGTGGTCAATCTCTTTATTGCCTGGTCTGCTCATTTACACAGACATTTATGATCCTTCCATGAGTTGTGGAAAGCTGCAGCATGCAAAGGAAGCACACCTTTCCCCATCCTCCATGAGCAGAGGAAACATGAAAGCTGGGTATTTCCCCTTGGGAATTCCCTCTGTCTGCCACCATTGCTGAAGGCAGTAACATTCAAAAAAACAGAACCCCCTCCTTGCACCCCTTACCTGCCTGGGCTGTGATTGGAAGCAACCCCCTCCTGTGTTGTTGTGCAAGGTCCTATGTGCAGCTAGAAGGATGGTCTGGTGACTCCGGCATCTCTGCAGACAACATCAATGCTTAGACCTGAATGGGCACAGCCTATGAAAGAGGGTGAAGAGGACACCCAAGTGCTCCCTTACCGCCAGCCATGCGCAACGTGACGTGCAGAGCGTAGGCAGCTGCGCAGAGCGCAGGAACTGAAAAGGAGCTGCCTTCATTTGCATGGCATGAAGCACCCCCCTCCTGTGAGGGCACAAACACAGCCCATCACACACCTCACTGCATGGACACCACCCCTCGCACAGGGAGGACCCCAGCAGTGCTGCCTCAGCAACGTGCCCACCAACCAGCTACTGTCTCTACCCTGCACCCACCATCCCTGTGCTTAGCTTTCTGCGTGTCCTTCCAGCCCAGTTCATATCTGAACAGCTCCCACCCAAATAAACCCCACTTATAGGGGAGCCAGTCGCAGGCTCTCAGAGTGGCTCTCCTGAAGAGGACTGCTTTCAAACCACAAAAACTCCTCAGAGCCCGGGTGTCATCCCCAGTTAGAGCCTTACTGCTGAGTGGCTCCAGGACCCACCTGCATAGTTCTCCCAAGACAACAGAGGCACCACCAACTGGCAGAGCCGAGCAGAGCCAGGGCACCAGCCCCACTTGCCATTTCCCCGCTCCCCAGTGACACCTGAGCTGTGAGGGTGCATCCTTCTACCCACCAGTGCTGGCACCACCATGGGGCTGCAGGTCTGCTCCAGGCTCCAGCCAGGAAGAACCTAAAAGCAGCTACAAGAGTGCAGGGCCCACCAACAAGGGCTGCATAAAGGAAATGGTAGGACTGGCAGCAGCACCGTGGCAGGCAGGCCCCTCAAGGGAGGAGTCTTCTGCACCAGTGACACTTGTTCACCTGCTCAGCTGACAGGCTCATTCTTATTCTGGGCCTGGCCCAAGGCCCAGCACAATAAAGAACTTCTCCTCCCACCCCACAGTTACATCAGTTCCTTCACAGCTTCTCCTTGGGGACACTGCCAAAGACATTTCATATCTCGAGCCCTCCCTCCCAATTTCATTACAAGACCTGTAACACACGTGGACCTCAGAAAGAACAGACCTCCCCCACTCCCAGGCTCTGCCAGCTCACTCTCTCTGGTCTTCTGTCTCAAGCTCTCCTCACACGCAGAGCCCAAAGCACTCCAAGCAATGCAGCAGCAGTACTTAGCAAGCCCTGATGCAAAGCATCATCTTTCCAGCAACGACTCAGTGTTACTAATAACCCAGAGGTCTCCCCAGAATCATTCTCTTGGGCTAGCAGTCTTTGGAATCTACAGCTTCAAGCTGATGGAAGATTGTTCCAGCCATGGCATCTTTTTACAGCAGCAGATCACTTCGACATCAACTCTGCCACTCACACAAGGAGAATATGTAGCACCATGGTAGCTACAAGGGAGCTGGCAACAAGCGTGCATGAGTGGCAGCAGAACAACTGGCACAGATCAGGAACTGTTACAGGGAACTGTGCCAGAAAGATCATTATGAGACTATGATCCTGCAGCAAAGCCATGCTTTTAAATGACTTCACACCCTGAGCTGCTGTCTCACACCTGGGAATGGAGGGCTCCCTGCAAGAAGGTGAGGACCTGGTTGGTTCTGCTCCCTCCCTGCTAAGGGAGGGGCTCCAGCAAATATTATTTTATATGTGAATTATATTTTTGTGCATCACAAGGGAAGAGTAGCCTCCTGACAGTAGAAATTACATGAGAAGGTCTAACAAAGCACCAGGCTGGGTGCCTTGTCCTAGAAGTGCTCCCAGTTTGTGACAGAAAACCTCTCCTTTACCTCTCCAGGATACCCAAACTCACAGCCAAAGAGGACCAGTCCCAAGACACTGCTGCATTCACCCACAGCACACTCATCCACAGACATCCACATTATCCAGAGAGCACAGAGCAAGCTGAAAGCTGTGGCTGCTCTGAGACCCAGCCTGGGTTCAGAAGGCTGACACAAAAAGGAGCAAGAGCCTTCTTAGATGTGCCTACAGGATCCCAAGCAATTCACTTCAAAGCCTTGGCATTTCCGCTAGACCAGTTTGCTATTTTGTTATACAGGTGGTGAGTTGCAGATCCCACTTTTTGAATTCTTGTTTCAAAAAGCGACATGACATCCAAGATCCTAGGAACTACTTTCAGTGCAGCAGTGTCGCAGCGTCTAGCCAGGAAGAGAGATCTATTAGACATGTAGACAGTGTCTGAAAACAGCCCCAACCTCCTCCAGGCCTCTGTGATCAGCAGGTAACATCGCAGCCCCTTTGGAACTTGAAACAAAACATAAAGTCTCTTTTATTTCCCTTCAGAGTTTTATTTAGCAAAACACAACCATTTCAGCCCTGCCAAGTGCACAGCCTGACCTGACGGCCACCTGGGGAGGCACACACTGAAAGCAGGGCTGGTTCTGCCTTTTTAGTTCAAATTCTTGCTCTTGGCTGTGAAAGACAACACAAGAAGCCGTCAGGGGAGCAAGCACAGGTGAAAGGTGGGCCCTGCTCAAGGCACCTTTCGCTTCCATCAAATCAATCCAACCCACACAGCCTGAGCTTGCTTCACATGGCTCAGAGCTTGGCTGATATCAACCTGACCAGCACACACAGCTGATGGGGCATCCTGGCTCTACTTGCCCCTCGAATGCTGTATCCACAGGAAAAAAAAGGAAAAAAAAAGAAAAAATAATGCAGTTAATAAAACAAACCCTGACTTGCGCAAAATAAAAAGGGTAAAGGACAATCAGCCTTTATTTCCACAGGCAGGTGAGGTTGAGAAAGTCTGGCCCTTTGTGCACTCTTCATGGTAGCCCTCTGGCAGGTAAAAAAAAAAATAAAAATCCCTTCAGAAGCCTTGGGGGCCCGTTCTCACCTCTCCTGCCCTGCGATTCCCTGAGCCAAGTGCCAACTCTGCTGAGTTGGGGTGACCAGAAGCAGCTGTGGTGCCCCTCATGGGGCTGTGAAGTCTAGGACGTGCAGGGCTGATGCCAGGGCAGCGTACAGATGGGTGGTACTGAAACGGAGGCAGTACACTGGGCTGCTGGTGGGTGAAGACAGGTGAAAGCTCTGCAAGAAAATAGGAGAATAAAACTTTCAAAGAAGAGTTACAGACCCAAAGGCTGAGGAGCCTGAGCAAAGCAGGATTTTCCTTGCGTACAGGCTAGGTTCCCCATGGTGGGCTCAGCCCAAATACAGCCCAGCAGCCCCTTCTCTTTCCTTCCAAAGAGATAAAGGCACTGGGCTGCCAGAGAACAACTCAGAAGCTTCACTGCTGCCTGGCCTCTGGCCCGTCCTCACCTGCAAGCACCGCGTCTGCCGCTTGTCCCAGAGGCGCACCACACCATAGTAAGAAGACCCACTGGCAATCATATGGTTCTTATCGCTCCTTACACAGTACAGGGCGCTGTCATGGGGCTCTTCCCACTCCTGGACACACTTCCTGCAAGGGCAATGCAGACCTGAGCAGGGCTGAGCCTCCACAGCTGGAACTGAGGCTCAATTTGCCTGATGGAGCTAAATGAGCTGCAGGTAAGCCCCCAGAGAGCTGCACAAGAAGAGCTCAGAAGCCTCACGCAGGCCCCAGATGCCAGCAGGGCAGGCTCACCTGGTGCTGGTCCGTATGTCCCAGTAGCGGATGTAGGTGTCATACCCACAAGAAAGGAGAAGGGAGGGTGTTTCGTAAAAGACATCAAGGACTCCAGCTCCACGGTGGAAGTCGGTCCCTAAACAGGTCAACAGCTGACCACTGCAATGAAACATAACACGGCAAGAGTTATTCAGAGCAAAGCACCCTTCCAGTTCAGCCGGCCAGAGCAGAGGTGGTGTCACAGAAGTCTCCTAGATCTCATTTCTGTGATTTAACAGAATGTAAAAGCCCGCATAGTTTTCCCTTTCCTCCCCCAGTTTCTGCTACTGGTTGGGCCACTAACTGTCATGGAGGGTGACCAGCAAGAGTCACAGCTGTAAAGCTGTGCCAAGAAACAGGCACAGCTAATCCCTATCATGTTCCTTGGTAGAAGTGACCGGTACTCAGAATCATGGGGCTTCCCCTCCATGGGAGACAATTCCCAACTTCACAGAATCACAGAATTACTTAAGCCGAAAAAGACAGATCATCAAGTCCAGCCTATGACCCAACACCACCACATCAGCTAGACCATGGCACCAGGTGGCACATCCAGCCTCTCCTTAAACACCTCCAGGGACAGTGACTCCATCACTTCCCTGGGCAGTGCATCCCAGTGCCTGAGCACCCTCTCTGTGAGGAAGTGTTTCCTGATATCTAACCTAAACCTTCTCTGATGCAGTTTCAGGCCATGCCCTCTCGTCCTGTCAGTAGTTGCCTGGGAGAAGAGCTTGACGCCCACCTTACTACACCTCCGTTCAGGTAGTTGCAGAGAGCGATAAGGTGCCCCGGGGTCTCCTCCGGGCTAAACAACCCCAGCTCCCTCAGCCTCTCCTTATAAGACTTTCCTGACGCAGCCTGCTATGGCTGCTCTCCTCAACCCACTCCAGTTACATTGCATACTGCAAATACCATATCTGGGGCTGAACATGACAGGTCAAGAGGTGGCCTCAGGGCTGATCTGAAGATGACTTTCCAAAGGCTAACTTTTAATTTAATTTTTTTTTTACTCCCTCCTCCTTTTTAATTCCTTGCTTGCTGTGAAAAAGCAAAAGCATGATCTCCGTGGAGCTCTAAGCCAGACACTTTGTGGCCATGTCACTCTGCTGCTTGTTCATGTGCAGAACCAGCAGCTCACCAAGGTGGACAGTGCCTAGTGAGGGCCCACACGTGCCAGACTACAAGAAAGAGCTTGGGCCCCTTCCTTGGTTCACATGAAATCACACTGGGCACATGGCACAGCCCATCCACAAGACCATTCCACTTGTCCCAGCATCCAGCAATACCCAAGCCATAGCAGACTCTTGGGAATCTCTCCGGCTGCTTGAAACGGCCACCTATAGCAAACCCTCCTCTTCTTCCTCCTCCCACACCCTCTAAATAAAAAATGCTGGACACAATAAACCTTGAAGCACCTGCTTTTCAAACCCTGCTGCATGGCCACCCCTCTCCAATAGACTCTTGGATCTCAGGACAATGAAGCGGTCCTGAAAGCCGACAGCACAGATCCCGCAGTGGGGTCACTCCCAGCATCTCCCCCCATTATTTTGTTACTTTCTGCTCCTTGATCCAGCATCACACAGTTCTGAGGCACATCGCCAAATGCCTTAATTCTGTCTGTAATCTGGGCTAAAGCCCTCGTCGGGGGATAAAGACCACACAAAAGGAGAAATAGAGTCCCAGGAGATGTTAAAACAAGTAAACACCTTTGTGTCAGGAGAGAGAAATCGCTGATAAAGCAGATTAGCACCTCGAGCCCTGGTGTCCCCAGATCAGAAGGCGAGCCCTGGCCGATCTTTGCAGCCAGCACGCTTCTATGATCACAGAGCTGGCGGCATGCTGGGGCCAGCCTGTTTCCCCACAGTCACTCTCCAAAGAGCAGATTATGTAGAATAACAATTTCTTTGTGGCTGTGTAATTCCCTCCGTGACCGTGGCTGTGGGCAGCTACATTGGCCCTTGATGCCAGGGCCCTAGCAACCATTTAGAGAGGCCAACCAGCCCTAGCGATGGCCCCCCCGTGCAAACCTCTTGGACAAGCTTTAACATCAAGTGCATGAATTAATCCCCCCCAACACGAATCCAGGGGTGCTGGCTTATTGGACTTTGTGTTTCTCCAGGCAAGGGATCGAGGGGATTCCAGGCTTCATCCCTTTGCAACCTTCTCACAATACATTAACCCTTGGAAGGTTACTTGCAAACCAACCCATCAGCAACTCTGCACCTGTGTGCAGGTCGAGAGGTTGAAGCAATCACAGTCTCAGCACAGGGAGCAAGAGCTGTGAGGTTTGACTGGGGCAGATGGGTCCTCAGATCCACTGAGAAGTGAGACATGGATGGATATCTTTGAGCCCTGGCACTCTCCTGCCCCTCCAAGCACACAGTTCTCCTCCATCTGCTGTCCTACAAAGCCAGCAGGACAGATGGACATGCACGCAACCCTTCTCAAGGCTTCCACAAAACCTTCCTCATCCTATGAGTTATACGCATGGCCCAGAGTTGAAAGACATACAACAGAGGTTTGAAGAGGAGTCAACTGCTCTCCCAAACCAGAGCCCCTGTACTACATGTGAGATGCATAAGGGCCCAGACTGCCAAACCTGCAGAGTCTCTGCCAATTGCTCAGGTAGTGAGTAATGCACAGGAGACAAGCTATATCAGCAAGACCGAGGCAGCTTGGACCCCTCTCTCCCCTCTTCCCCATGGTACTGCTTTTTGTTTTGTTTTGGTTTGGTTTTGGTGTGTGTGTGTGTGTGTTCCACAAGATAGCCCCTCATAGCTTTGAGCACATGGCACTTTGGGAGAGGAAATCAGGACGGGCAGCTGCACATGGGCCATGCAGCCTAGCAGCACATCTGCAGAGTATCTCCTACTAGCTAGCTTAAACCTGTTTGAGTTATTTCCCCTCCACCATTATCCCTGCTGACACATCTTTAATATGTAAAGGACTAAGTGAGCTCAGGGAGAGAGGTGCATTGTGCTGAGAAAAGGTAGCAGGATGTGGGGGATGTCCCTGCCCATGGCAAAGGGGTTGGAACTAGATGATCTTTAAGGTCCCTTCCAACCCTGACAATTCTATGATTCTGTGAAACAGAGGCACATCCAGAGATCTTTTACTCACTGGGACCAGCCCTCTTCCTCCTCTCAGATGACTGAAATGGGCCACAGCAGATCTCCTCACAACCTCCTGCCTCGAAACAAGCACTCATCACACCCAGAGAGCGCCTGCCCACACTAAAGCTTTCTTCCACTCCCAGACCAGACTTCAGTGTGCAGTGCTGCAGGATGGTGATCATTTTTAATGGCAGCCTGGTGATGTGCCCAAGTGAAAATTTTCAGCATCAAAGGGACAGGGGCAGGAGAAACCAGAGAGTCAGGATTCCTGCTTTCAGAGCTTCCTGTGCAGCACCAAGCATCATCCAGGTGCCTCACTCCCAGGGTTTCTCCACATCTTCACACCTCACTGCAGTGGTACCCAAGCACCCCTGCAGTCACACCTGCTTTCCTCCCTCCGCTTCCCTTTCCAGTCAAGACAACAAAAAAGAATAAAAAAAAATCACCCCCAAAAAACAGGGAAAAAAGGGATTTGCTTTTCTCTGTAGGCAGGAAAGGAGCACAAACACTTGCAAGTTACTGCAGCAAAGCAAATCTTGCTTTGCTGGTTTGATAATCAGTTCCGTTCTCTTGCCCCAAGAATAGGTCAACTAAAGCAGCTTTCAGCTGGGAGGTCCAGCCCCTGCACACAGCCACAGCCCTTCAGCAGTTTACAGAAACAACACATTCGTTGCTACAGTGAAGCACTTATAATCTGACACCAGGGGAAAAATCATACTGTGCTGTACACTGAGCACACAAACCAGAAGACCTAAGTGTTCTGGCATGGGTATGTTTAAATTGATAAAGATGCAGAACATGATTAATATTTCCCTTATTTTTCAGCAGATTATGGTGTCTCTGGACCATCTAGCACTGCATCAGGCTAACTCCATATCTCTGCAGCATACACATCCAGGCTGAGTTCATGCTGGGAAGGGAACTCTCTGCTACCACAACACTCCCAGCCTTGGGATCACAAGTTGGTGCCTACAGGTTGTCCAGCCATCATTACGCCAGCTGCTTCCTGCCCTCAAACCCCAGTCTCCAACAGCTTCCACTTTGCTGGAGCAAAACCCACAGCTAACACTTAACAAGCCATAAAGGATCAAGAAAGCCCATCAAAGGGCAACAGAAAAGCAGCAGATACACCAGCACATCACTGATGGTTTTCTAACAGCTTAAACGAGCAGAAGATATCTACTCAACGAGGGATAGAAAAAGATGTGATAGCTATCTTGAACCTTGTTTCTCAGCAGCTTGCAGAGACCATCAGCCCAACATAACAGAAAAGAGCCTTCACCTTTCCTTTGTGGGCCCTCTTTCACGCTCTGCACCCAGAGGCCAGGGTAACTTGTCCTTGTTACACACTCTCAAGAGTAGTCAACAAGTGAAGACCAAGCATGGAAGGTCCACACTGCTTCTCCCTCATTCCCCAGCCCTCCAGCAGTAGAAGGTAAAGGCCGTTTCACTCCTAGGCCTTCTTCGGGCAACGCAGGCAGTCAGCTGCGTGGGCGGTAGTTTTTCTGTACTGAACAACTTGGGCCAGAAAGTCCCAGTGCTGACAGAAACAACTCTGCACCAGTGGAGTTCCGTGGAACAGAATCACAAACTGACAGTCCAGATTTCCTGGAAAGACCAGTCTAGATCCAAAGCTCTCAGCTTCAGCACCTTAACTACAACCTATCCGGGCCGATGCCGCACCTCCAGACAGGCAGGCACCTTCAGTGCCGAGCACGAAACTCACAGATATTCTCAGTTTCTCCTACTTTCTCTTAAGCATCTAGACAGACTGGAATCCAACCAAAACTCTTCTATGATTCCATAAATCACATTGGCAGTAATCTGGTAACAGCTCACAAGAAAAAGAGCCAGAGCAAATCCAGCAGCGTATTTCATCCCCAGCACAGGAAAGCTGTGTTAACAGCAGGCTCTGGACTTGCCGATAGAACAAGATGTTTAAACAAAGTCCCCATGCCTGGGAAATGTATCAGACAGATGAGCCCAAAAATGAAAGGCATTTTGTTC